CAAATAAAATCAAAGATTTGATTTTATGAGCATTTTATGAGTCAAGGAACAGCTAGCAAATCATCCAAATCGTGCAAGAGCTAATTGATTGAAAAATATCTTAATTTGGTCTATTTAGGAAACAAATCATACAAGGCAAAGAATGAAATCAAATCTCCATAATTTGCAAACATATGATCAATTTTTGTTGACCTAAATCATTCTATCATATATACCTAACATCTCTAAAGCATAAAAGGGGGTTTGGGGTCGTGAAAACAAGGGGAAGAAATTGCAAATTTGGGAAGAAAAAGTGCAGACCGTATTCTCTTCCATAGGCTGTTTCAAGTAATTCCAAAGCCAACAATTTATTCTTGGACGTGTTCTGATGCCATTCCAATCATCCTCAAGCCTTAAAACCTTCAGAAATCACGTCTCACAGTGCCACGGTTTGCATCTTTTTTTATGATTCGTTTTCAATAATTTATCCATCATAAATATGTTTTGATCATATATCCATGATTGCTATCATATTTGTAATGTTTTTGATTGGTTTGATTGAAGTTTAAGTGCAGTGATGACATGATGCCATTGTTAGGCTTTTGAGGTCCCAAATTGGGAATTTCATATAGAGGAAAAATTGGACAAAATCAGGGGTACTATAATGCTTAGAAGATGATTTATAATTGATCCATGTCTTTGGTTTGAATTTATTCTGCTTGTGCTGCATTTTTGAATTTTACAGGTTTATGGTTACGAACAAAATCCGTCACTATAGCTTTTAGTGACGGAAACGACTGTAGGTAAAAGTGTGGCCAAAAACAACATTTATGGGGAAGAAGACAATTAGGTGGCAGAATCCCATTGGGTGATTTGAATCACGCGCGCGTTTGGGAAAGACCACTTTATTTCCTTTATATATTATTTATGTTATTATATTTACAACTAACCATCCAGTCATTAGATTCATCATCAATCCAGATTCAACGCTTAAGTCATACCATGGACCGTCAGAAAGAGCATCACACTGTATCTAGCGCGTTGAATGGGCTGAGCAAGGAATGAGCCTAACAAGTTCGGTACTACACCCCCTGAATTGCTCAACAATACAAGCCCGATTTCTTTTCTTTTTTTATTTTATTTCCTTTATTTTAATTATTTGATTAATTATTTCCTTTTACAAAAATAACACAAAAAAATAATTTTTTTATTTAATCATAAAATCAAGAAAACCACAAAAATGTAGAATTAGGTTTTTTATTAAAATTAGTTTTTTTTTTGGAAAATAATTAATTTAATGATGTTGACTTGATTGTTTTCATAATTAAAATTAATTAGACAAATTATGTTTAATTCACAAATATTTAATTTTCTCAATAAAATACCAAAAAATATTTTTCTTCAATTAATTAGATTTAGGTTAGGATTTCAAATATTTTTCTCAACAATAAAATACAAAAAAAATATTTTCTCTTTAATTGATTAGATTTTAGAATTTAAACTTTGATTCCCGTACTTAATTCTCGCGCGCAATATTTTATTTTCCAATTATTGTATTTGCTTCGGGTTTGTAATAGTTTTTAATTAGAGTTTACCGCATATTATTTACTATTTAATCCCCGGTTTTTGGTCATGTAACCCCCTCCCCAAAGCCTTGTAATAGCGTAGATTTACTTTTTCGCTTTTAATTTCCGTACTATTCACTATTATGTAATTGCCCCAAAGCTCTATAATAGCTTAGGTTTACATTTCCGCCTTTATCTTCTACTATTATATTTTATGCAATGCTTAGATTAATAGGATTGTATGGAAAGATAAAAATGAACGATAGAAAACCATAATTGCAAGATAAATATAACTGAAAAAACACACTGTTGCACACTTGCACCCCTAGGGTACTCTCCACTTGGTTGCCTCGGAAAATAATGATCGTGTCCTTCGAACGTAGGGATACCTTAGTAATGACCCGCGATTCAAAGTCGTCATAAAGATCACAGTCCCTACTTGTCCCTCGAGTTGTCTACGAATTGATCTTATGACGATAGTCCCTTCGAAACGCTAAGGTATCCTTACTTGTTGCCTTCAATGACCATTATGTCCCTTTCGATAGTCCCTCAATTATCCAACGACTAGGGTTACCTACTCACTAATAGTAGGATAACATGGTCTAAAGGATAGGAGGAAAAGAACGCCTTTTTTCGAGTAGGTAAATAATTGTTATGTACTTGCTCAAACAAACAAACTTTTTCACACCAAACACTTTTCAAACAAAGTTTTCAAAAACAACTTCGTAACACTCTTGAGGACAGAAATAAGGGTTAAAACGAAGTAAAGTAAAGTTTTCAAAATAAGCACACACAAGCAATTTCAAAATGAGCAAGTACCTAAGAGCCTGTGGAAAACTATGGATGGAAAGGGTGCTAATACCTTCCCTTTCCATAATCTACCCCCCGTACTTAGAAATATCTCGAAAAAGGTTTTTTTTGTTCTTTTTCCTTTTCCTGATTGGATAAAATAAAAGTCGGTGACGACTCTTGCTTACCGCGACATTTTGCAAACAAAAAATGCAAACCAGTATAAGAGCCGGTTCTGCCACCGTATCACACAAAGCATAATATGTGATAAAACAAAATAAAACCTCGATAAGTAAAAAGAACGATAACTAAAATTAATGGTAAATAACTGTGTAAAACCCATTGATCAATGGTCACCTTCATATTTTGAGTATGTTGACTCACATTTTCCAAATTCTCCGACTCCAAAATCCCAAAAAAGTATTCTCAAGGGTGTGCGTATTAGCAAATTATATCCTCCACTGCCGTTACTAAAAATCCAATTAATTGATGAGATGTCGCTTTTTATGCACAAATACATCGAGCGGATTGTAAATATTGATAGTGACAGTAACTGTGGTTTTTGAGTTGTGAAGGTTTACTCGGTAAGGGAGAGGATGATCGCCAACTTGTTCACCTTCATCTTATATAATAGATGACGATACATAGAATCATACAAAAAGCTATTTGGGGAACAAAGCACATTACGATACAATTCTCAATGCTCTTGTTCCTTGTCTTAGTGGTTTAGCTCTGTTTAACAAATGGATACGTTTTTCGAAAATGGGACATCTTATAGCAAGTGCTTATGATAGAGTGTGCATTGATTTAACAAATATAGTTTCTCAGAAACATTCTTTCCACTTTGGAGTAAGGCACCTCATAATCCATCTGAATGCATCATGTGTATTGATTGGTTATAAAAAAACAACGTTTTGTTCAGGTTTATTTGAAACTGGGATGTCAAGACATCACCAGAGTGAACGACACATTTTAAAAAAGATGCTGAAACATGGTCGGATTACTTTCTTGAAAAGATGAAAGAGGTCACCAAGTTGAGCGATATTGAACGAGAAGCAAATAAGGAAAGGTTGAAGATTGAGTCACCAATAGATTCAAGTAGTGACTCAACTTTTGATGCGTTTTAATTGTAATCTAACACTGTAACACGTTTTTTGGGTGTTATTTTTTGGACAATTTTTGTCTTTTCAGATTCTGCTGTGCATAACTATGGTTATGTTTTTCTGCATAATTTTTTGGTGGATCCGGAGATGCATCTTTGAATACCCCTTTATTAATTAAAAAACAAAATAGGGGATCATTCGGAGTTGCATCTCTGAATAGACCCTTATTTTTATTTTTTGAAAAAATAAGGCAAATTCAGAGATGTATCACCGAATACCTCTTTGTAAATTAAAAAAACTAAACAGATGATCATTCGGAGTTACATCTCGGAGCGGCCCTTTTTTGAAAAAATAAGGCAGATCCGAGGATATATCTCCGAAGTGTTTCATCAAACATGATCATTTATGTAAGGTCCTTATTGCTATACAAGTTCTATAAATAGGATCTCTCAATCCATTTTCTTTACACAAATCAGAATGTCTACATATCTCCATCTTGCTTTTGTGTATTTCAATGGCACAATACCCCCTCTTCAATTTCGGATCTGTAAGGACATACATCTCGTCGATCTGAAAATCAAATTGAATACTCTCCTGTAATATACAGAAAATCAGAGAGTTTTCAAGATCGAGTATAGTTCACCCTCGATAGACAACGAAGGGAAGATACAGTTCACATTGCCCGAACTGAAGACAGGTGATGATTTAAAGGTGATGTGAAGTATCTTTTATCGTTACTCAATAAAGGATTTGATTGAAATGGATGCAACGATTCAAAGATCAGTCGACAATATTATAAAAATGTTCCAACGTTCCAAACTATTTGTTTTCAATAATATGTAATGTTAAATTTATGTAATATTTATCTATGTAATACTTATCTATGTAATGTTTATTTTAAAATTAATTTAAGTTATGTAATTTCCATTATGTCATTGTTGTTTCTGTTATGATCTAACAGAGCATATTTCGGAGATGCATCTCCGAAAAGTTCACTGACTAATGAATTAAGAGGCATTTCGAAGATGCATCTCTGAATCAACCTTTCGTGCATACGAAAATGCATCTCCAAATTAATCTTTTACAGAATATGGATTTCTCACCATTTTTACTCCAGTTATGTGTACAAAAGATGCGTCCAGAGATGCATCTTTAAATGTTGGAGATATTTTAGTCTTTTTCCGATAGTGTGGGAGAAGTCGTAAGAATGTAAAGAGCATTTCTCATTTATTATTTGGATCACAAATAGGTCACCTAATGTTATATTTTAACTTTTGAGCTAGATTTAAAAAGTGGAATAGTTTGGTGATCAATTTGGTTACTAGAAATAAGTTTTTTTTGCACACCTTATAAATGACACAGCCAACCAATTATGGATTTTAAAGGAGTTATAATTCAGGATATAGTCAATCAGACACGTTACAGACATCAATGTGTTTGATCAATATGTATGACAAGTATAAAGAAGCAAATGATTTATATTAATGTATTGTTTAAGATGATAATTTTGTTTGTAAGTTGAATGAGATTAATTAATGGTCTGAAACAACCTTCTAGACACTCACTATTGGTCATACTCCATACAAGTTGGAATATTGTCCATAGATGTAGTGAATGATTGAAGCTCTAACTGATCAGTTCTAGACACAAAGTCTGTGATTGATGTACAAGAAACCGATACATAAACTCCAGTAGGTCTCACTTCAGGTAATTCCATCAAAGGCTCATTTCGGTTCAAAAAAATATGCACAACTTTCCTCATCTTTGGCCTAAACATTGAATCTGGATGCAAACATGCCAATCCAACCATCAAACCTCTTTTAGCTTCTTCCACATCAAAACTACTTTTCAGTTGTTGATCAACACACTCAAGAATTTGATTCTGAGCATGTAAATTCCATACATAATCCACCAAACTATTATCTTCCATTATCCTTTTCGACCTTTTCCCACAGATAACTTCAAGTATAACCATACCAAAGCTATAAACATCTGATTCAGGTGTAGCTTTTCCTGTGAAGCCTATTTCAGGTGCTAAATAGCCTGGTGTTCCAGCTAAGTTTGTAGTTACTGAGTCTTCGTTTTTTAGTAACCTTGCGAGTCCGAAATCGCCTAAATGAGCATTGTAATTAAAATCAAGCATTACATTATTAGGTTTAACATCTCTGTGAACTACTGGATTTCCACATTCTTCATGAAGGTAAAGTAATGCTGATGCTAATCCTGTTAATATCTTGTGCCTTGTTTGCCAGTCTAGAATGTCCTTGCCTATGAAGTGATCAAGGCTTCCGTTTGGCATGTAATCGTAAACTAAGAGAAGATTTTTGCCTTCATTGCACCATCCTTGGAGTTGGACTAAGTTTTTGTGTCGAAGACGACCGATGGTACATATTTCAGCTAAGAACTCTCTTTCACCTGTTTAGACCATCAAAACAAAATGGTCAATACTTAAAAAAACAACGATCAATGATAACACATTTTTAGTAACGTTGAATTTGATATTTTCTCGACAACTGATTTAAGATAGGTTTTGATACCATATTAGATTTTTGACCAGACTTAATAACACAAAACTAGCTTTTTAAGTTCTATTTATGCTGTATTTCTACACGACGTGGAACTTGAGGTTTTTTCCAATACACACCGGTTTAATTCTATTCAACTTCAAAAAGACTTTCATGTCAGAATTTTTAACAAGTTACCAGAACATACCTTGCTTAGAGGTTGCGGAAATTTTCTTTACTGCAATAGTTTTTCCATTTTCCACCGTGAACCCTTTATAAACACTTCCAAACCCGCCTCTTCCTACAAGATTTTCTTTGTTGAATTTACAAGTAGCTTTTGACAGTTCCTTGTAACGGAACATCTTAGGCGCATCTGCAGCCGTCCTTGATAGGCTTTCAATGTCCTCTTTCCGGTCACCCTTCTCATATCTTCTCTTCCAAGCTTCCCAAATAACAGAAAGTAAACTAACTAACACAAGAAATGGTAAAACAATTATGAACAAGAACTTGAGTTTTCCAATAGCACTGTGTTTAACAGAAAGAACAGGCAATGGCACTGATGTGAAAAACCAATTTAGGATTTGATGAGTTTCAGGAAAAGTCTTTCCAGTTGAGGCCGTAAAACCAACATAAACGGAGCTCGGAATTATATCAGGTAAGTTAATTGAATGGTTAAGAACACTCTTTAATTGACTATTTGAGTATCCGGTCGAGACAGAAATCATTTTAGTCCAGCCATTATAATCAACTTTAACCATAATGTTTCTTCCACTTTTGAGATCAACATCAGTGCTATTGATACTACTAAAAGCAATTGGATTTGTGATGCTTGTTGTGACTATACCAATATGGTTTCCATCTGGATCAAATTCATTCATGAATGTGTCCAACTCCACACCTATCTGTCGAAAACTCTCATCTGCACGGCAACAACAGTTTAGGCTAAGATTAAAAAAACACAACTTTGAAACAGTGTTATTTGGCATAATTAAGTTTACCTTGTGTAGACCTATCAAACATACCAAGATAGGAACCATAGCTATCATTTGGAGAAGGCCTATTATCTTGTGCAAATACTAGTGCAATTCCATCACCCGAGCTGGTCGAGTTTTTCAAGAACGGCGTGATCCTAATAGTGAATGTAGTAGTGATAATTGCCGGCCAAACATGAACTGGATGAGGGTACAAAACCTTTCCTACTTTGTTAGCTATGTCAGATGTCCCAAACATAGAATCTGAACTGTTGCTTTGTTCTGTCTCTGGCTCTGGTGTGAGACTTATATAACCATTTCCTGAAGTGGCTGAACCCATACAAAGCAATTCACCATTGTTGCAACTTTCAGGACTAAAAGAAATAAAGGAGAATGTAGTTGGACTATTTACAGTGCTTGTTGTAGCTGTTAGAGTTTCGATTAGCAAGATAAAGAGAGATAAAAATATGAACATGGTTGTGGTAGAGAGTTCAGAAGTCAGAACAAAACACCTTTGTTTTAATCCTATTTTTGTTCTTTTCAAGTGTGTATATATAGATGTTTATATAGTGGTTATTATTATAAGTTTTTGTTTTGAATGTTGTGTTGTATTTTAGTTTGATGCTGATCTTGATTTGAGAATCAAATATATGCGAGTTGTTGATTTATTAGATGTGCTGGCAAGTTGCTTTTCATGTGAGACAAGTTTAAGAATAGACAAAGAGGTGCTCCTTTGGAATATACTTCACATCAGTTTGTCTTTTGATGAATATTTGACCCTTAAGTTTATGTACTAAAAAGTTCTCTAAATTCTAGGACTTAATTACAAACTTTTTAAGTTTAGAGATTAATAGCATGTTTAGAACCAAGCTAGTGAGTACTTTGCACCAACAACATACTTAAAAAACTATTTGAAAATCCTTAAATAGTTAAGTTTCCTATATTTGATGGTTTTACAACCTCATTCATAGAAATCAAATTATGCAATTCACAATTAGTTCTTCTCATGCCAATGTAGAGGTTTAAGATTGAATGTCTATTGTCTCCTATAAATATATGCGCTGAATTGCTTTGCATTTGACGATTTCATCTGCTTAAATATCTTTCTATAAGCCAATCAAGCTTGCAAAAATCATTATTTCAAGAGATTATTGAATGACCAAAATACAGCACAGTATCAATATCATAAATTTTACAGTAGTAACCTTTTATTATTTCACTCCCCTTAAGTACATAAGGAAACTATTTTACTTTATTGGACATAAGGAACCTACAACCCAACAACAGTTTTTATCACAGATGCAAAGAAAACAAAACCAGCACTGACATTAGTATGACATCATTGACATGTTTGTTGAAAGCAGCACTTTGTTTACATGCTCACTTGTTGTTATGATCTTAAATTATTACAAGCCCAATAGTGTAAGCTGCGCCACTAGTTTCTACATCCTTGATCTATTGCGGTTCAAGCTAGCTTCAATTGATCCATGTGGCTCGTCCGTTGGTAAATACACATCGTCATTAAACTGCATATGAAAAGGATATATTTTTCCGATAACCGTTAAAATATTACAAAGTGGTGATGGTATGAAGAATCTATATTTTCTCGGGAATCTATATTTTCTCGGGACATTCAAATGGTGACAGATTAAAACATGTTGAAACTAATATATTTGATTACATCAGGTTTATCATTTGACATATGGAGAGCAAACAATTGACATTCTTGTGTTTATTTGATTTCATCTCTTATTTTCATGATTTTCGGTCTACTTGGCTTATAAAGAAAGATGTCAATGGTAATAAAACCAATGGGTTCTCTACCAAATTCAACAAGGTTTTCAGTGAAAATAATCAATACCTTTACAATCTGACCGTCCTTGTTTGAGAGATTGACTGGTAAGAAATGAATATTTGGCATCTTTAGTTGAATAGAAGCTATGTCAGGAAACCTAAAGCATGACATTTAATTGTCAGTCGCAACATGACTATAGCATATCATATACATCAAATTTGTCGTTCTATTTTTCTCTCTCATTCAACAGATACGTAGATAGATTAACGCAGACACGCAAAGAGGGAAGGACAGAGAAACCTGTTTAGTGTCGCATTTGCCATCTGGTAGAGAGTGCTTTGAACAGATGGACTGTAGACTCCTTCCTTTGGAGGGCCAAAAAAAGTGTCGAGCAGAACTCTTTTCACAGCCAGATACTTGTCAGTAAAATAAAAGGGCTCCTGAGGGACATCATATACTGATTCATATGAATACCTACAGCCACATTCAATTTAGAAGCATGAATTCAATTTTCGAAGATAAAGAGAAATATGCAAATGCAGTGATTTCATTTTCTGGAGGATATGGTACAAACCCTCCATGTTAATCTTATGACTCATCTACATAGCTTACAGGAAGCCAACTTAGATTGTACTTCTTGTTAATTAAAATTTGCTATGACAAGTGTCGGAAAAAGAAATTACCTCCACAGGGCAGTTATTTCTGTTGCCAGCATCCTTTCGCGTGTGTCAGGAAGCACTGTATACTTGTCTCTTACAAAACCCTCAAAACCAGACTGCTCAAAAGTAATAACAAATCCAAAAGAAAATCAGCTTGCATGTTCATAGCATGCAACAAACTCTGAAACTGTATAGTTTCATAATAGGAGAAATAATATTTCATCTATTAGTACTTCAAACCCTTTAATGTGTCTATATATCTTATTTTTTTCTTTAGAGCTGGTTTGATGCTCTAACAAGGATCTCTAATAAATGTCTAGTATAAATCTATGTGCTCAGAGAAACATTGAATGAAAACCCAATGCCGAAACAATTACCTGGGTTGTTTTCAACACAGACAATCCTTCAATACCAGAAGTCAATTGCAGTGCATCAGACTTGTTTACTACTGCCTCTGTTGTGTGCTTCTCAGATCCAAGTTTGAAACCTTGCAAAAACAAACTCAAAGGACTTAAGGTTGGAAAAGAAACAAAACATCAGCATATATTTATAACTGAAATTTTCATGCATATAGTTTTTCAAACTAAAGATCCTTAAATAATAAAACTGAAAATGGTTATATCTACATACACCTTATGAATGCGTATAACAGTTCGACTAACCGTGTTTATGAGGTTGACCCTCGACACTAACTCGCTCCCACGGTTTCTCCACAATTTTTACAATAGCAGTGGTAACCTGCAGAAAAAAGCATGAATAATCTCTATATTGGTTTTAAATTATGAATTTGAAGTCACCAACCTGCTTATAAAATGATGTGAAATGTTTGGCAAGTAGAATGGCAAACTCCTCCACAGAAAGCATTTCTGAACATTCCTTTGCTTTTGCATATACCTAATTATAAATCAATTCAAAATTCAAATTCAATTTGAAGCAAAATGAGGTGAATAACAAAAACGATGAGTAAACTACGGTGTTCTTCATGGTATCAGTAGCGACGATATCGGAATTATCATCGCGAATATAGGAATTGACGCAATGGGAAACAAGATTGATGCTAACACGCCACTCAACAACGAAGTGTTGTTGACCATCTTTGCTCTTCCAAACGCGAGCTACTCTTACTCTCTCTTTCCCGTGACTCTGTTCCAATTCAAACCCTTCAACATTATTCTTCGCCATCGATTCTTTTTTTTTTTTTTTTCCTCTCACTTTTCTACATTAGCTTAGTGACTCAAAGTCATGATGACATCTTCTATTTATAATAAATAATTTAACATATTTATAACTTTTTATTGGACCATTGTGTAAAGTATTTTTATCTCACGTATTGATTGTTTAATTGAGACTATTGTACAAATTTTTTGATGTTATTGATTGTGTAGTTTACTGACTTTAGAAGATAAGATTTTATTATGTGTCAAGTTTTCGTACTTTAGGATTAGGACAATAACGATGCGGAAGAGGACAGTATAGTATTTGCTGGTTTTACTGTCATTTCTGTGTGCGCCTTGCATAACTCTACATGTTTTTAAAATGTGATTATTGATATGAAATAAAGAAAGAGAAAATAAAAGTTCAGAGAAAGATGAAAATTGTTCTTGTTGAGATAAGAGGAATATTTGAAATACATTAAAGAAAATATAGAGATAGAAGAGACTGTATTATTTGTATTTGAAATTTATATGTGTCTTTACATAAATTAAAGTGTGGTATATATAGCACTTGAATTGTAAATATAAAGTTTAAGTTACTCTTTCAAGTTTGACAATATCTTGTAGATAAGATAGATTTACTATTCACAAGATATTTCAAATAGTAAGTATAATAATTTCTTATTATTATAACACTCTCCCTTTTTGAAATATTTGTCACGGTGCTCTGTTGAAGTCTTGTTGATGATAGTTATGGGAATATCTGTTGTCTCGTTAAAAACCTTATTAGGAAAAACTCATTGGGATAAAAACCTTAATAAGAGAAAAAGATTACAACATCATGCTCCCCCTAAATAGGACACATTAGTTCTTCTTCAAAGATCTTGAATGTGTCGCATTCCAATATTTTGTATGTGCTTCCTGAAAACTGATGTGGAAAGTGCCTTTGTGAAGAGATCCGTCATATTATCACTCGAACGAATGTATTGAATATCAATCTCTTTCTTTCTTACGAGTTCTTGTGTGAATGAGAAGAACTGTGGAGGGATGTGCTTGGTTCTATCAGTTTTGATGTAACCTTTTTTCATCTGGGTAACACATACATCATTGTCTTCATATAAAATTGTTGGATTTTTATCCGTTGTTAAACTAGATGCTCCTTGGATATGTTGAGTCACTGATCTTAACCATCTATACTCTTTGCTTGCTTCATGAAGGGCAATTACTTCAGCATGATTTGAAGAAGTTGCTACAAGTGTTTGCTTTTGAGCTTTCCAAATGATACCTTTGATTTCACAAATTACTTTAAATAAATCTTCCAATTGCTCCTTTAATTCACCCAACTCAGACGCTGACGTCTCGTACAACACTGAAGAATAAGTCTAGTCCCAAAGACAAGCTTAACAACAAATTGCACTTACTTCCAATATTATCACGTGATAAATGAATCTATTACAGCTACTGAATCCATTTTAAAATGAATCTCATTTCGTTAGCTTTCCAACGCTTCAAACGGAACTCAAATCGGATGCTCAGAACTCTAGTTATGAATTTTCGAAGTCCCACAATAATTCTGCAGTTTCCTGCGATTCGCTTACGGAAATTCCACTCCAAAAACTCATTTGTCTTCAACTTAGACATATTCCAAACAACTCTTAACATATCTCGTGCTCCCAAACTTCTTATAACTCGAGAGATGCATTCCTTCTCTAAAGTTCAGGTTCCAAAACACCAGGGAAACAATTCTTTTCGCAACGCTACTCACTTCTTCAAGTTTCGACTCAGACTCGCGATTCACAACTACTTATCAACGTCAACTACTTCCGACAATCACTTATGTGATCCCAACACAAAAGTTACATCAACTTTATTACTCCATCATTGTTCAAACATCGATATCTTACACTTGCTTCGTAAATCAACAAATATTACATCGCTCTTCATTCTTCGAGAAGTAAGCACCAACAATGTCTGATCAATTTCTCTCAAGGAGCTTTAACTCAACTAACAACAAGACCTTGAATCCAAGTCACCTTCAAATTCGGGAACAACAAGACTCCTACGATTCTTGCATTGTCGTCGTCGGTAGCACACCGAACCAACACCTTTCAATTGAACATATCTGAGAAGCAAAGCTTCTCCTCCACTTATCTTAAACTAACTTCCTGAAATTAAGGCAAACAAATATCGGTAGTGTTTCACACACTTGTCGCGCACTAAGGAATAAACAACATTAGACAACTTGGTCGGACAGACCGACCTGCTCTGATACCACTAATGTAACACATCATTTCTACCCGGCAGATAATAAGAAAATAAAGTTCAACATAAATAGGATGCTACATTTTCAACTAAAAACCAATCTCAAGACAACAATTATTTCATGTAATCAACTTAAAAATTTAGCAACTGAAATAATAATCAACAACTAAACATCAAACATTCATCCCCCCGAGTGCTACGTATCAGAGCAACAATACCGACTCGAACTAACAAGGTAATAACTATCCTTCTTGATTACCTGCACGTTACCAACAGAGGGCAACATTCAAACATAAGGGGTGAGATATCAAACTATATAATTAGTCATATGATAAATAATATATTAAATCAGATCATATAAAATCACCACTTCACAACTTACAAATAACTTTAATCATAATAAAACATCAACACGACATAACTACTAAATTCACAGCTTTTAGATAATACTTGTCACAACAAGTCAACAACATAAAGCAACAACGAATCTATCTTCACCATAACTCAAGATGCAACATAAAATGCGACTCAATCACAATGCACATGCATATGGTACCATCGGAGCAGAACTCACAACTTAAAAATTGCCAATTAATAGAGACATCAACAAGGCATAAGCCTTCTTCGCAGTTTACCAATACATGTCTTCACAAAATCCGCCAATACAGGCCATCACAGAGTATGCAAATGTGTGACTCAATGAATGCAACATCACATACTGTGATATGGTGGGAGAACTGACTTAGGTGTTTTGCTTTTGATCGCAAATGTTGCGGTTAGCAAGAGTCGCCACCGACTTTTCTTTTATCCAAAAGGAAAGGTGAAAAAGCACAAGAAAGACCTTTGAAATTATTTCTTGAGTTCGGGGGGTAGATTATGAAAAGGTAAGATATTAGCATCCTTTTCATCCATGGTTATCCATGGTCTCTTAGTTACTTGCTAGATCACTTGCTTTTGTTTGAAATTGTGCTTTGTGCGGTTTTTGAAAGTATTTTGTAAAGAGGCCATTATTTAGGCAATCTTTGTAATGATTCTCGTTCGTAAGAATATATACAAAGATGTTGATCTTTTGAAAATATTTTCAAGTTTGTAAGATGTTTGAAAGTGTGAGTGTTTGTTTTGAAAATAGCAAGGATGTTTGTTTTGAAATGGAGCAAGTAATTATGAACAATCTATCTACTCAAATGTATTTCTTGTTCATTTTCTTTTCCTTTGACATTGTTGTCTTACCATTGATTTGGTAAGCAACCCTATCTTTGGATGTAAACGGGACGGGCGTGGGTCATCGTATAACCATGATTAGCAATGCTGCAAGGTATCTTAGCATTCTTTTGGAGGGACTAAGATCATTTGTAAGGCAACTTAGATAGCGTCATCGAGGGACTATGATCTTGTATTTGTTTGCTAAGATACCTTACATGCGTAATATGGCCATTTTATATAAGGCAACCAAGTAGAATAACCCTAGGGGTGCTTGTGTGCAAGTGTATCATTTTCATGCTTGTTTTGATCTTGAATTAGGGTTTTATAAGTGTTGGTTTTAGTCTTTCCATACAAACCCTAATTACTAGCATGTTATATAAAAGCGATAAATTGCGAAATTTAAAGTTACTACGATATTACAACATTTGTGGGGAGGGGTGTACAATTTGTAAATGGGGATTGCAAGAATTTAAACCTAACTAGTCTATTACAACCATATTGAAATTGAACAAATGTACAAAAATAAAGATAAAAAATGCAAGAATATGAATGTACAGAAATATGATTTTTGTTTGTTTTTTTTATGAAAGGGTTTTGACCTAATTAAGTTTGAATTTATTAAGAAAAGATTTTAGATGAAAACCTAGTTCTATTTAGTTGATTAAAAGGAAATAAGTTTAAGAAAAATGTTTTTGGTATTTTTATCTTGAAAATATTTATAGCATTATAAATTATTTTTAGTCTTTTTTATATATAAAATAATGTGTTTTAAATGGTGTGAAAAGTAAATAAATAAAAAACATAATATTAATTAAGTTTACAAGATTTAGTTAATAAAAATAAATAAAGTATAGTAAATAAATAAATATTTTTTGTGAAAAAATAGAATAAAATAAGTCAAAATATAAATATATCATTTTTTTGTATTTTTATGATTTTTAGTATTTAGAAAAAAAATGTATTTAAGAAAAGAAAAATGAAATAAATAAATAAATAAATAACTTGGGCCAGAGGGTGCCAAGAGGAAACAGGGAGGCTAGTGAGCAAAAACAAACAAAAAAAACAAGCCAGGCCCAAAGGGGCCCAGCGCCTGCCAAAAAAAAAACAAAGTCAGAAAAATGTGAAAAAATGAAAAGGGTACCGTTGGGGCTCGAGCCTAGGTCCCATAGGTTACATGCGCGTGCTTCTACCACTGGGGTGGCTATACATCCATTAATACAAATGAAACAATAAATATGCAAGGCAAAATATGTTCTGAAGACTTCATCTTCAACCTCCAGCCAGACCAACTGTAACTTGTTCATTTCTCATCAAAAATGAAAATTGTAAACATGAAACTTGTAGCAAATTTTCTCAGGATTCTAGAAATGTAAAGTATTAAAACTATAGATCAAAGATAAGCAAGAATTCTAATGGCCCTAATCTGAACCCTAAAAATTTCAGAAGTTTCAGTTTTAAAATTCTCTAAGCTCAAGCAAAATTAATGGAAACTAAAGACATGGTTAGCTTCAGGGCAATGATATCTACATGTTTTATTCATAAATAAACTATTGATGATGCCTG